CTAATCGTTTTTTTCCCCCCCTTTACACCTATGTGACTTTACAAAAAAAAATAAAGCCACACTGTCACTGCTGCATTAATTAACAAATTTACCCTTTATTGCATTTATTAAAAAAGCAAATAAATAGTGTGCAAAATATCTAAAAATCTTACATCACCTGGGGGGTAAACAAAAATAAATGCATTTACTGTAGAACACCGGTGTAAAGGGTAATTCATGGGAGGACAAATGCATTATGGTTGCACATTGTGTTGCGTAATATTTAGTCCAGGTTTATTCGACATGACAGCAAGCACCACATACAGTACATGTTGAGTTGGAGTAGATTTGACACTGAGTTGTCACATCAGTGTGGTTCAGGCATGAAGGGAGGAGTCTGGGTTATTATCAGCTGTCTCCGTTTAAGATGCTTGGACGTAAAACTTTAAGGATGCGTTGGCTCTTTGTAAGATCAGCAGGGAGTTCATTATGCTGTAAAAACACACACGAGGAAAAGTTAATGAGCCGAAAGTACTTATGTTCTGTGTGTTTATTATCCCACCCTGCAAATGTTATGGCCCTCACTTTGTTTGGCAGTGTGGGGTCTGCGTTGGCCCCGAGCAGCAGCAGAACGGTTTGCAGATTTCCACCCATAACACCAGCATGTAGGGCCGTGGAGCCATTCTGGAGACAACAAAAAAACATTTCTTCATAAAGCTTGTGGAGTGGTATTAGATTCTTTACTCAAAAACAAATATAAATCTGATCTGCAAAGACTCTGGCTCCAAATTACATCACCGGTAAGAAGGCAGCGTTCATATCTGGGATTTTTTGGCTTCATTTCTGGATAATGGGAGGAGGTTAAGACGCCTAGTCCTTCTTTACATACAGCGTGTGATTTATGCACTGACTGGGAAGCTATAGCCAGGAGTCTTTTAGATTAACTCAGCACAGATGCTGGAGATTTGTGAAAACAGCTTTTCTGGTACAGACGGAACCAACAAAATGTTAGTAAACTTGTTGCTAGATGGATTTTATTATTGCCAGACAAAGCCAAACAAGCTGTTTCCCCATTTGCAGTCAGATGATAACTGTAGCTTTATATTTGGTGTTTAGACATGAGTGTGGTACCGACCTGCTCATCTAACTCTTGCCAACAAATCAAATATGGTTATTTATCCAGAACATCTCAATATTCCTTTAAAAAGGGAAATGAGCTGGGACAGGATCTTCTACCTTGAGAAGGCCGAGTGAGGGAGAAAACTTGAGGAGCTCCTCGATGACACTGCTGTGTCCTTTTAAAGCCGCTTTAAATAACGCTGTTGATCCATCCTCAAGAGACAGAAAAGACAAAAACTGAAGTTACTGAGCATTAATCTACATGTTAGGTCTGTTTCCTGTTTCCTCAGTAGTCAATGAAATGTAGATGTTCTTAAATTTGAATTAACAAATGATTAACATCTGCTTTAATACCGTAGAAACAAGCTATAAACTGTTTACTCGATGTTATGGTGAACTTGAAGCAAACAGTTGTGGATATCTAGATCAGGGGGCGGATGCAGGGATTTGTCACTTTGTTTAACATTATAGATATATGGTAAGTATATAGATATATGGTAAGTAAATGGACTTTAGGTGAGAATTGTTATGTAAATGGTTATTTCAAGGATCAGACTACACTTTTTTTATAATATATATGATTCTCTTGGTTCCATTGGCCATATAAGGAAGCTGTTGACTCCAATAGGTTTGGGCTACGTGATATCGATGAATAAACAAACCTTTTGTGTGCATTTCTATGTGCTTTGATGATTCTGAATGAACAACCTACTTGTCTGTCTGCATCTCGATCTGCACCTCGCAAGAGCAGCACCTTCACCACCTCACTGTGACCCATCTGAGCCGCCATCCACAGGGGGGCAGTGCCATCCTGGAGAAGACGCAGGTAAGGAGGAGGGATGCATTGAGACGAGGAGGAAAAATAGGAGCAAAGAAAAATAGGGATGGAGGGATGAGACAGGCAGACAGGGATGTGAGCTGAAGAGGGAGAGACTTTACCTCCCTCGCTTGGTTGACCTTGGCACCAGAGGCAAGCAGCTGACGTATCACTGTCACATGACCCTCCTGGGCTGCGAGGAACAGAGGCGTGGCACCATCCTAAAACATAAAAGAATCTTCTTGAACACCGTAATATTTGTCTCCTGTACACCTGTTTGCTGAAAACCTGTCTAAATGACAATGTTCCTACAAAATAAAGGTTTATTCATTACAAATGATCAAATTACTGCTATTTCATAATGTAAGTTTGTGCTGTCAGGTTGTTTTCCACTGCATAATCCTGCTGAATGCCAGCCGGGTCTGACTCAGCAGTCTGCAGAAACCGGAGAGGCTGGATTCCAGGTGCTGGGACATTGTGTGCAAGTGTCAGACAGGGAGGCTTTAACACAGAGAGGAGAGGACTCGGGCCTAAAGAGGGGCCGCAGAGGTTAGAGCAGCTCACATGCAGCTGGTCGTGAACATTGGCTCCATTCCTCAGCAGCGTGTCCACCACCTTGGAGTGTCCATACTGAGCGGCGGCGGTGAGAGCGGTGCCACCGTCCTGCCACAAAACATTTGAGGATACACGAGAAGAAAACAACGTTTTTAGTGCAGTAGTGGGCTGGAGAGACACACACAAAGCAGCCTGGGCTATTCTGTGCATCATTTTTGTGTCTTTAGCGCAACATGAAGCCCCAAGTCTGAGATGATAGCATCGCATTGAGCGTAATAAAGACAGTGACGCATGTGGTCATGCCCTATAACATACCTTTGTCTGGAATTCAGTGGAGGCACCAAACTCAAAAAGGAGCTTCACCACGTCACGGTGTCCCTGCTGGGAAGCGAAGAACAGAGCGGTAGAACCTGTCTGGAGAGGACGACAAAAACAGATACAGCTGATGTCATTCTATGTGAAATCAACCCCAGTGTTTGCTTTTGGAAATGTGAAGTTGGGTCTATTCTGTTAATTTAGCTTGATGCTTTTTCACTTAATCTGCATTGTTTTAATTTTGGTGCCTCTGAAACCCAGGATGAGTAAAGTCAGAGGAAGAGTATCCACATATTTGTGTTGAAATTCTGAGTCCTCTTTAAGAAGCCAGAGGAAGGTACAAAGTATCTAGAGAGGAAACAGTGGGTTGTTGAGATGAGTCAAGGTTTAGATAGATTTGTCCAATAGAGTAGGTCAACATGAAGAATGATGGTTTGTGACCCCCGTGACTTGCTGAAATTATAACACTCCTCAGACACTGTGACGGCAATACAACTGCTCACTTGTTCTCGACTCTTCAGCCTGGACTCCCTGATGCATGTGGTTTTGAGAATCAATTCTTCTGCTTAAGACGTAGAAGAAAACTTCATTCCTTCACCCTGCAAGATTTCCCTCACATTTTTAAAACAACTTGTTTGAAAAGGATGTGAATATGGAATACCACAGACATCTATCAAACTAGAATGACACTTCCGCCCAACAATCCTACACTAGTTCTTATAACAGAAAAAGGGCAGCAGTCTATAACCTAAATTATGTATTTGTCATAAAATCTAGTCCTACAAAGTGTTACATGAAGATCTGTGCATTATCCCTTATGTTGTTTTGTTAAATAACATTGTTGTTGCAATTTTTAAGAAAGCGAAAAAAAAAATTATCTGCACCAAAAGTTAATGGATTGACTGGTGACTTCAGATTCACTTTGACTTTCAGCCCCTGGAAAAATCTGATATCGTTCCCATGGGGCTGGCAGTTATTTTCCCATCATACCTCTCTCTGGTAGTTGATGTCGGCTCCTTGCATGATAAGTTCTTTGACACACTCATAATGGCCACTGTACGACGCCACCATCAGCGCTGTCGTTCCGTACTGAAGACAGAGATGCCAATTAGAGATTTAATTTATGAGGACGACTCGATGAAAACTGCTTTAATGAGGCGACGCAACTGTGATATCATGCAGAATTTCCATCTTAACAGAACGTTCACCCTCGATCATTGTCACTAAAAACAAACTATAGATGTAAAATTGTGATGCAGATACACTCACACACACTCACGCACCACACCTCTGTCTATGGTTAAAGCGTGCAGCTGAGCAGCCAGGACATGCAGCGTTCGTACACTGTCTCTGCAGTCTGCGTCCACACGGCCGCTGTTGAGCAGCAGCTGAAGCAGAGCCAGGTTCCCCTTCCTCGCTGCCCAAAACACAGCATTAGCCAGGGGTGTTTCCTTCTGGGGATAAATACACACAACAAAGACTGACCTCAAACCACCATTATGGTATTATACACACCGACAAGAGAGTAGAGACGGAGAGTGGTTCTGAATGAAAGACAAGTCATCACAATACACACATGCTGGGTTACAGCTTGATGTTAATAATAGGCCATAATAGGCCTAATGATATCCTATTGATACCACACACACACACAAACACACACACACACACACACACACACACACACACACACACACATACGCACACACAGAGTTGTGTCTCCATCACTTCAGAGGACATTACATTGACTTACAGTGAATTCCTGGAGACTTACATTAACCATATGGTTACTACTTACCCTAAACCTGAACCTGAAAACAAGTCTTCACCTTCAAATGTGATGATTTACATTAGGCTGACATGCTTTTGTCCCCATATGGAAGACAAGTCCTCATGATGTCACACACAAACACACACTGATTCATCGTTGTGAGGTCATTCATTGTCATAATAATGCATTTCCAAGCCCCTTACTCTTGCCTTAACCCTCATCCTCACACTAACCCTTACCCTAGCCCCAGCTATTACCTTAGCACTTACCCTTATCTTAGCCCTAACTTTAGCCCTAACCCTTATCTCAGCACTAACCCTTACCCTAGCACTAACCCTTACCTAAGGGAAACCATGTAACAGAGTCTTAACTCTCACAACAACACAACAACCCTTTGAATTTGTGAGGACCAACCAAAATGTCCTCACAACAATGGCACTGAAGCAAAATTGGGCCTCGTAACTGTAGATAGACATGCACACTCAGACACACACATGCACATGCACGCACGCTCATACACACACACACACACACACACACACACACACACACACACACACACAGTTAAACCTCAGCTCCAAGTGATCTACAGCAAAATAAACAGTGATGTTGATGAGGATGATGATGTTGATGAGGATGAGGATGATGCTGATGAGGAGGATGCTGATGATGATGAGGGTGAATGAAGGGTGCAGTTAGAGAGGAAGCTGTGTTCTCTGTGTCAGGCCCTCGCGGTGCGTGCACAGCAGGATGGATGGACGCAGAGCAGCTTTACCTTGACAGACATGGCGCAGACCTCAGTCGTGACTCATGTTTCTTCCTGCGCACTCACTCATTAGACGCTGAGCTGAGCCTGTTGTGTCGCACTGTGTTTGGGTGTTGGCGGCGCCGGTCCGGAGGCATAATAACAACACTGACAGTCAGCTGAGCTCATCCTCTGCAGTCAGGGCTGCACTCAGCCCACCACCGGGAGGCGCTACTGAGCACAACCACGGTCAGCTGACAGCGTGGAGCCAGGGGGTGGGATACAGTAACCATGGTGACACATTTATTATTATTGTGCTTGAGTATTTCCATGTAATTAATTTATACATCTATTTTAGTACGATTTGTATGAAGATGTATTTATATTTATATGTAGTGATGGTATATTGTAATATCTATGAAATTATTATTATTATTATATTGCACATTTATCCTTACTTATTGGATGACATTTTTTACATCTAAAATGTAAATTTGCATATATATGTATAGATAAAACAACTTCAGTTATGTTACATACTTGACTTGAGTGCCAGAAAGCCATGAGAATGACCATATTACCTTTTAATATCTTTTTTCTCTACTAATGGGTCTGCTTTGTAAATGAATGCCTTTTAAATAGTTTGGACCCAAATGTTTTCTGTCTGTATCTACACCAATAAAAAAACTAACTAACTACATCGCTAAATCTCAACATGCATTATCACAAGGCATCTTACATTGTAAGGTGGAGATCTTACAATATTATAGAGAAACCCAACAGTTCCAACAATGACTTTGGTGACTGTGGAGAGAAAGAACTTTTGAAGAAACCTCCAATAGAACAAGACTCAGTGTGTACGGCCATCTGCATTAAAAAATGCTAGAATAATTTTAATGAGCTTTGTTAAAGACAACATTATTTCTTTATCTTGTGACCCTGCAGTGTCTAAATGGAGCCCCTCGTTCAAGTATAGACTGATTTCCCCCTTTTAAAGTCTGAAATGGTTTGAGCAAATTCACTGTTAAAGGTCAAATGAAGCCAAATTATTAATCATTTGACAACGTTCAAAGAAAAGTTCAAATAAAATACAAGATTACTCAGTAAAGCACAAACATTTACCAAGGCCCAACAGTTCCTTTATAAAACCTTTTTAAAATCACTAGATCCAGATTTTCAGTGAAAATCCTCGAAAATGCTGGAAAACGTCCTCCTTGTCCATCTTGCAATGTTAAAGCTGGAAGATAAATCACCTTTCTATCATTTTATCTTGTGACCTCTCGTTTGACTCCACATAGGGGAACTGATAGATTATAGACTTAACATATAAAACTAGTTCCAGCTATATTCAATTTGTTGAAAATCTTTCTGCACTTTCACCAAAATAGAATATTGGATGCAGAACTTTTAATTGTAATAGAATATTTTTACATTAATAAAGGGTCTGTGTGTTTCCTCCAGCTCTGGTTTTGGAAAGTAATATGTCAGTTGTTGTGTTCAATTATAACCCGGTATTTGAAGGATTTACAAGATTGCACCTTTGACCATCTCTAAATAATAATGAGGTATTACAGAGGAGGAGCAGGGAAAGCATCTTATTTTTGTTGACTAATATCCTTCTCAGGTGCAGTCACAGGGGTTGATTTAGGGATTCCGTAAAAGTATAGTGAAAGCATGTACTTATTGTAAAGCTTTATAAGGTCCGACGACCAGTCTGTGGATGCATCACTGTCCAGAGTTGCTCTGAGACCATGGGAACAAAACAGACTCACATCAGCACAGGTAAGATGCTCAGCATTTTTGAAAATCTTATATGGAAAACAAGGGAAACCAACATCTGAAACCTGAAAGTGCATTTCTCAATTCAGGCAAGTTGAACAGTTTGATTAAATGTCACAGGGTTTGACATAAAGTTGTTTTTTTTAGGTTAGTTTCACTGTAGCTTAAACAAAAGCTGTGTTTCAACCACTGGAACTTTGCCAGGAACTATAGGAGCTTTGCAAGAACTCTGTGTCTTTCTGCTGCAGGGACCAGGGTCAAAAATCTTTTTACCCACCCAAAAAGTCCCTGCTTGGGTGGTAATACTCAAGAATACATGCACATACAACATGCAGGATATCATTTTTCAATTCAACCTTTACAAATGAAGTTTTCTGTTAACATCAGCCCCAATTAAGAAACAAGTATAAAACAGATTAAACTAATTAGAGCAAACATACTGAGTTTGCAGTCTCATTGTTAACCAGGAGGAGCTGGAAAAGCTTCATCATGTTTTCAGAGGATATTGAGCGACAATGTTTTAGATCAGAAAACCTGAATAGATTAACTGACATCAGTCTAATGTTTGAATAATCAACTTGTGAAATCAACAGACCATGGTCACAATAATCAATGTTAATGCTACAACTACCCACAAATAAACTGAGATGCCCAAGTCTCCCAAGATTACAATGAAAACAACATTTTCCGAACAATTAAATCCAAATCTCTTGTCCTCTCAGCTCATCAGTCTGGCTTCCTGCTGAGGGCAGCCCTGCTCTCCGTCCTGTTGTGCAGCCCGAGGCGTGTGGCCTCCGACTCAGATGAGGTGATCCTGACTGACTGGGAGATTTGGAAGAGCAGCCATGGCGTAACCTACGATGATCTGGTGAGACTAACCCCTCATCTTAAAACACAGGGACAGACGTGACTTCACATGTATTGTGAGTCATAGAAGTTTTTTCTTGATGTGTTTTTTGTGTTTTCATGCAGGACGACATGCAGAGGAGGGCGATCTGGGAGGAGAACAAGCAGATGATCGATGACAATAATCAGGGTTTTTTTATGGGGATCAGGCCGTTCACTATGGCTATGAATAAATATGGAGACCTGGTATGAACTGGTATTTCACACACTATGTTACAATCATCTCTGCTCACACTAACAAATCAAAGTCACAGAGTAAAGGTTAACCGAAATTAAATTGCAGACTAAATTTGGGTGTATGCAAAAGTAATAAAATTCACATAGTAACACATCCAAAGCAAATTATTATATCATATATTTAATCCAGACCTATGGACAAGGCCAGGTTTTCCATTTACCCCAGTTTCAAGCCTGTATGCTAAAGATGTATCTAACTTGCTGAAGTCTGTAGGAGTGGTTTCAGTCTATTCATCAAATTCTTGGAGACAAAGTGCATTTCCCCACTATTGAGGTTGGCTGTGGAGGTAGAGTGGGTTGTCCACTAACCAGAGGATTAAAGGTTTGATCCCAGTCTCCCCTGTCTGCATGCTGAAGCTTCCTTGTACAAGACACTGAGTGTATGAGAGATACACTGTGGCAAAACTGTACTGTCAAGCACTTTGAGTGGTCATCAAAACTAGAAAAGCATTAAATAAATAGAGAACAATAACATGTTGCATTTACATTATACATATGTTGTATTGATTATCTGATATCTGAACATGAATAATTGGAAACGTAATCATATTTATGTTCTCTGTACATAGACACAACAAGAATTCCAGGTGTTGCAAGGTGCCTCGATAAACGCCCAGTTTGTGCACAGAGGGAAGACGGTCTCTGCTCGACGGCTGCGCAGCAATGCTCGGAAGTTAGATGCTTGGTTTGTCGACTACAGGACCATGGGTTATGTCACTGAGGTGAAAGATCAGGTGAGACACTCGTACATTCACATACGGTAAGAGTTTCTTTTTAACCAGACTGAATCAGGAAGTGATTTTAAATTCTCTTCTCAGGGTTACTGTGGCTCCTGCTGGGCCTTCAGCACCACAGGAGCTATCGAGGGACAAATCTACAAGAAGACCGGTCAGCTTATCTCCTTGAGTGAGCAAAACTTGGTGGACTGCTCCAAACCTTACGGCACCTTTGGCTGCAACGGTGCCTGGATGGCCAACGCCTATGACTATGTGGTGAACAACGGGCTGCAGTCGACAAGCACCTACCCATACATCTCAGTGGTGAGGCTGCAGCCTGCTCTACATCAGAACAGCGAAAAAGTAAATCTGTCTGTTTCAAGCACATTGTTAACATTTCAATATGATTTTCTCTCCCAGGATACTCAGCCCTGTTATTACGAGAGCAGACTAGCGGTCGCTCATATCAAAGACTACAGGTTCATACCCAAAGGAGACGAGCAGGCCCTGGCTGACGCTGTGGCAACCATTGGTCCAATCACAGTGGCCATTGATGCGGATCATGCAAGCTTCCTGTTCTACAGCTCAGGTTAATTCTGTTATATAAAATCAGAATGTCAGAGATGAGAGTTGATTAAATACCTACATCGTAAAAAAAATATGTGCATGTTGTTCAGAGCAACAAAACCAGCCAGCTCTGCAATCTCTCTGCTAGCATCTTCCCTCTAGTCGTTTGGGTTAGCAGCTTCACTGATGTGCTGGTTGGATATTTTCCAATGAGTTGGTAAAAGGGGAGTGGAATTTGAAATCCATCAGATGAACAGAAACCTACCTCCAAGTGAAAGTGTCTTTGTAAATGCTGAATATGTTAAACAACATATTCTGAGTTCCCCATATTGATCAAATTGATGTGAATGTTGTCTCTGCAGTTTATCTTTACTGCCACCCACTGGTCAGAACATCAGATAACATGTGTTCAAATTTAACTCCTAGGAATATACGATGAGCCGAGCTGTAACCCCAATAATCTGAGTCACGCTGTTCTGCTGGTTGGTTACGCCTCTGAAGGAGGACAAGACTACTGGATCATCAAAAACAGGTCAGAACAACTCTGTGCATTTACAGTCGAGTAACACAGGATCATTTGAAATATAAACAATTTCTAGGATATTAAATGTACAAATGTTTTCTGTTGCTGTTTTTGGTAATATGTTTACAGTTGGGGCAGCAGTTGGGGTGAAGGCGGCTACATGCGAATGGTCCGGGACGGCAGTAACACATGTGGCATTGCAAGTTATGCTTTGTACCCTACTTTATGATTCATTGCTCATACAGCTAATATCATCTGTAAAGTCATCCATACTTTCTAAACTCTCTGCTGAACCTTGCTTTGTGGGAAAACCCAAATCAACCTTGTACAGTGAACACATCGTTTCTGTCAGGGACGAACACAAGATTCAATGTCTTTGAAATGTTTTTTAATACGTCAAACTCACAAAATATGGAAAAATGAATTCAAATATCCAAACAAAACTATGGCCATCTTTGGACAAAACAAACTGTGGACACAAGTAATGACACATTCCTCCACTTACAAGAGCTAATTTTGGCTAATGTTAGATAACCTATATTAGAGTATCAGACTTGAGTGAGCTTGCACACTTTGCGACCTCTCTACATGTGCTACTTTTGCAGATGTTTTAACAATTTTGCTCAGTAAAAAACAGAGTAGCATCTAGCATCACCCCACAAAGGTCCAGTCACTTTAGAATTAAAAAACATTTCTGCAAATGTGGGAAATCAATCCATTCCTGTGCGATACTGAACAATTTTATAAATCATATTAAATATACATATTAAAGTTGCACTTTTTTTTTTAGTGAGTGTAACTTTAATAGAATTTGACCCAAAAGTTTGTACCTTCATGTATAAATGTATAATGAGGCATCTTGCACAGTGCTGAACTCTGAGGGTTGTGGAAGGAGAGGAGAGCTGGGGAGTCCAAGATGGAGAAATCCATCATAGCTGCGATGCTATGCTTATTTGATCTCCTCCATTTGATCAACAGAGACAAAGTTAAACAGGAGTCAATGTTACAAACTGAATAAACATATTTTAGGTTTGATTAGATTTTTTTTTGAAAATATAATTTAAAATATTAATTTATTCAAGTACGAGAAAAGCACAGCAAACAAGTGAACTTTAACAACAAATAAATAAATAACTCATGTACAAAAAGGAGTAGAAAGAAGTGGATACTTATTGGTAACTATACTCCCTTTTCTTGCCAGAAACCAAGCTCTTAGATTGTAAAACTCTTTGCTTTGTAAAATAAAGATCAATCCTGACAAAATGTAACACAAGAGCATAAAGCACAAAGTGAGAAAATAGAAAGAAGCTCATAAGGCCTCATTCCTATCATGGACTTAATGACAGTTAGTGCTTAACTCAGCAGCTCTCAAGTTCACCAAGCTTCCTGATTCTGTGACCACGTGTGGATTTATTCCACTTTCTGTTGTGTCCAGGTTTTAACTGCTACATAGTCTTGCTTAAACAACTGATTTAAGACTGTACAAAATAAAATGAATGTGGGTGTCCTGTTTGTGAAATATCTTCAGACTGCAAAACTTTTTTTTATTTACAGTAACTTTGTATTTGTAGAGATTATATATAGAGAGGGCAAGGGATGGAGGATATAGAGGGTGATTAAAAAAAATAAAATTTCAAATGTAGGCCAACTTGAATCTGTTGGAGATTAAAAAATGTGTCTTTATTTTCATTTCAATGCAACTATATGTATTTTTCAACCATTATGAACTATATTTTCTATATTTACTGGATGAACTGGAATGTTGTAACTCATGGACTGACTGATAATAAAGTGATAACTGTTGAGGAATTTTTGTATATCTTCACACATTACTGTGTATGCCACTATATACCGTATTATGTATATATAGTATACATTACATTATATCTGTACACCATTAAGAGAAGAGTGCCTGTATAATTCCACAGATACTCCCTTCTCTCTCTAAGCAGTACACAAGGTCAGGTTATAGATAAAGTACCAACCAACAGAACATTGTAGTGTCTCCGCTTAGAGACTTTCATATCTAACTCAGATGCCCAAGACACAGAGAGGCACCAACTTCAACTCTTACCAGTGTCAACTAATTTGCATTTTACACCAGTATCCAATAAGATGCCTACATGTTGCATAGAGTGACAGCAATTCTAGCCATTCATTGATGTGCTGTTAGAATGGATGACGCATGTAGAGGAAGATATATGGGGATGCTGGGAGACATCTTCAGACTTGGGGGTGACAATTGCTCATGTTACTCTGTTAGTGTTTGTATATTGTTGCACCTTCTGGTCTCCTTGATGAATCAAGTCTACCTTGAAATCCTCTGCAAGAGACATCAGCTGCTGCCTTAGTTCTCCTTTCACCAGCTTCCATAAAACTTCCGTAACAATAACCACTTTCATCTGTCGCCTGTCTGCACTTTGTTCTTCAACCAGTTCACTGCTGCTTAATGTCTGCAAGTGCAACCACACCTCATTGAACTTTGAACCTGCCTGCGTGAATACAGTCATCCGCACTCTGTTTCTCACAGTCCAACTTCTCCTCATGCATCTCACACGAAAGCTCTAAGGTTCAGCTGCTGCAGAGTTTACAAGAAGAGGAGGAGGAGTTGTGTTCGACTCAGTTGGATAACTGGAAAGACACAACAATGCATCGGAACATTTCTGCACGTTGTGGTGCAGTGTGCTTGGTTTTGCTTTGCTTTGCTCCGGTTCATCCGTCAGCTCAAAAACATGCAAAGTGTTGGCATGACAGATGCACTCCCGTCTTTCAGTGGACACAGGGCACAAAAAAGTTATGCGACCAAACAGCAGGAGCTATTACCCAGGTAAAACAAGTCTTTGTTGGATTGTCTCTCTCTAGAATTGTTTTTACAGCATCCTAAGCTCAACCTTACATGTCCAAACCAATCAGGGTACAAAGTGGCCATGAATATGTCTATTTCCAAAAAACATGTTTTTCAATGAATATAATGTATCTCCACATGTGTTTCTCTCCGTCTCCATGCCTCACCCTGTTTTCTTTGTGATAACAGCAGACACGGTGAGTGCGGGTGGGGTGTCTTGTGTTAACTGTCTCTACACAGTTGACTGTTCAGCTCTCTGTGTCCGTACAGAAGTGCGGCCCTGGCTTCTACAGAGAATGGACGGGGCCCAACAGGGGTCATTGTGTGGCATGCAGCTGCAACGGACTTTCCAAAGAGTGTGAGGAGCGAACAGGGAAGTGTGTGGTAGGTGTACACACACACACACACACACACTGTAACATATGTTTTTTTTAAATTACAGCACACATAAAGGTTGTGGCATTTGTAGGCACATTGTCGACAAATGTTGCTCATATTGTGTTTCATCTAACGAACCTCCAGAACTGTCAGTCCAACACCGCTGGGGCCCGCTGTGAAAGGTGTAAAGAGGGTTACTATGGAAACCCATCCAACAGGACCTGCCGTGTCTGTCCATGTCCCTTTACATGGAACAAGTCAGTCTCTTTTTTATTACCTTCGTCAACCAACCTCAGCTGGTTTTTACTGGATCAATATGGAGATCTTATTTATTCTGTCTCAGCTTTGCGTTGGCCTGTCTGGACATCGGCTCAGGTGTGGTTGACTGCTTGTGTAAACGTGGTTACAGTGGATCCACATGTGAGAGGTTAGTTTGCTGGTTAACCGAACACATACTTTATATTTCACATGCATTATAATTAAACATCAGGATCCTTGGTGCACCACAACCTGCATCCTAACCCCTATTGTCCTCTGCAATACATAATGTGGATATGCAGGTCTGCCTCTTAAAGTAGAGAAATTCTAAGCAGCATTTTCCTTCTTGTTTTTCCTCTCTTTAAGATGTGCACATGGTTACTACGGCAATCCATTGGTGCCTGGAAGCAGCTGCAAGCCATGCAACAGAGGGGATGGCATCAACATTTGTAATCATCTTACTGCAGGTTAAAATACATTTTCATATACAAATACAAACATAGTTATTATGTTTTAAAGGGTTAAAGTCATTTGATGTTATATTAAGGTCTGGGAACTCATGAGACAGAATAAAGATGAAATTATCAAAATTTAAGTTACCAGCTGAGATATCCTGAGTATGGATTCAGCTCAAAAACAGTGGTTTCTGTCCGATAAGAGTCACAGAAGACATTATACAACTGGTTAAGGATATTTCAAAATCATGTAATTTGATACAACACACAACAACTGGTTCCAGCAGCTATGATCACTGCCACAGCTGTGGTTGTAAAGAAAATCATTAACTCATTAAAAAAAACTAAACTAAAAATCGTTTATTTACTGACAGACTGTGACAGTTGCACTTTGTCTTTATGGGCTGACTTGGAAAAAATGGACAATGGTCTGATTTGGCTGGAGCAGCAGCTGAGGAACAACAGTCTTGTCTTTGGTTCAAACTCACTGCTGAACAACGTGGAGACTAACATCTCTAAAACCAAGGTACTCGTACATGGAGCCATTAGGAACCTTTATGCTTAATAAGCTAACATTTAAAACATCTATATAGTCACATAATCCATGTTCAGAGTATTTCTGCCCTGTTTTCCAGATTCAGTTTGCGAGCTACGACACTGCTGTGAGACACCTGGAACCAGAGGTTGAACAGCTGGAGGCAGATGTGAATGTTGACGGTGACGACTTGAGTGAACTGATTGACAAGGTTCATGAAGTAAATTTTTCTTCAGTTAATCAGAGTAAAATTCAGGAGTTAAACGATGAATAGTTTTGTGAATTGAAATTACTGTTTCAATAATGCCGGAGGTATCTCTACAAATTGATCATGTCATTATCAAAGAGATCTCATAAAGCAATAAAACTTAGAGTTTATAAAACTATTTTTGGTGCAGAGTTAAAATGATCTGGAAACATTATAATCTATCATCAACTTTCAGACTCTTCGATTTGAATCAGATCTGGAAAAGGTTTTGCAGAATGTGAATCAAACCAAGTTGAAGGCCGATGATCTTCTTTCTGAAGCTGAATCTCTCTTCACAGTCATACGAGGTACAGCACTCAAATATGAAGGTTACATTGTTGTGGCACTCCACCACTGCTCTGATGATGGTGTCACATCTCATATCAACAGAAATCATATATATTAATAACACTGAGTAATTGTAATGGATTTAAATTCAGTCTGATCTTCCCTAGCACTTGTGTCCGGGAATTTGTGGGAAACTGAATTATTGGTTATGTCAAAGTGATCCTCTACACTGTGATGTATCATCAACACTGTTATCTCTGTTATTGTGGTTTGTCAGATTTGATAAAGCAGCTGTCTGTGGTAAAGCCCAGGGGATCAATCACCCTCTCCCTGAACGACAAAGTCAGGATGGCGGAGGAGGCTCAGCGCATCGTGCAGGAAATGAGACAGAGAGGCTGCAGTGCGCAGAGGGAGCAGGAGGAGGCACACAAACGTAAAACATTTTCTACCCAATTGTGTTCAGCTCATGATCTAATGCAGGGAAATTGTGTTCAGTTCATGGATAAACTGGTGCAGAGGTGGTTCAGACCGGGGTTTGTGCCAATAATCACACATGTGATTAATGCTTCACTGGTGTCAGGAACATTTGCAAACGGGCTTGTGTAATACGTCTGCCTTCACTCTGCTCCTCTTCACTATGATGTAAAGTAGAGGGTGCTATATGAGGTCAGCACACTGTTCCATTGCACTAACTTTCCCCAGGAACTAGGAACCATTGGACAAACTCAGTCAGGGCCTAAATTAATATACTGGTAGTTTTCTTTTTTTACTCCAGAGAGCAGAGAGAAGTCTCTGCCTGCCTGAAGTACAGGAGCTGCT